CATATAGTCTGTCACCTCTGGATAAACATGTCAGTCAGTTTTGCTTAGCTACTTTTGCTTTAAATAGTTATTTAATAAAGATAAAATCCCCGCTCCCCTAAGCTTCCGTGGACACTCTCAACTTTAGGGTGGAGTCCGCAATGCTGAAAATATGTCATTTAAGTGGTTATGTTTTGTACATTTGATGTAAATTTATAACACTGAACATTTTTCTTAGCAGGGTTTAAGTCTTTATTAGTAGGGTCAGCCTTCACAAAAGGCTCGAGTCTTGTGCCTTTTGTGATGTCATCAACACAAATACACTAAAAGCGGAATTAGCTGTTTCTGTAATTCGGCAGATTGACCAAAACTCAGTATATTAAAATCCGAACGTCTTGACTTAGCTGTGATTTTCAGTATTATTTTTGTTGTGGGAATAATCTCACTGGGTACTATCTTTAATCTAGTTTCTGTAAAAGAAATAAAAAAATAAAAAAAATAAAATAAAAAGGAAGAAAGAAAGAAAAGAGCGAGCGACTCAGAGACCGATAGTTTTCAGAGTGCGTAGGAAGTCTGGCTCCGTTTCTTGTTTTGGCATCTTTTTTCTTCCTTTCTTTCTTGTCATATCACACCTCAAAGCGGCTTGAGGTTCCCCCGACGGATTAAGTACACTTAAACAGGACTTCCCCTCTGCGAAAGAAGGTGGAAATAGCGCGACTTTTATCGTAGGAGTTCCAGTTTCTTGGAGGCGCCGCATACGTCGTCAGAAGGAGAGCAGGAGTTTTGTCTCTGGGACGTTGCTGGATTTTAGGTTGTGGGGTGACACTCTGCATCTCGTCTTCCAGCTCGCACGGAGCTATGATGATGATGATGATGATGAGTCTCCTGCTGGCATCAAACCTACAACCTTCCAGTCGCAACACGGTGTCTCCAGCCAATAGACACCGAGTCCTCCCACACTGAGTCCTCCCTCTAAAACAACCTGTTTTCACATTCACACTACATGGATAAAAGAACATTTCACCGGCGCGTGGATTCGTCGTAGAACTTCATAACTTTTGTGTCGATGACGACAGGTTAAGCCTATACGATTAGTGTCATGACTTCATTCGTCTTTAAAAGCCCTCAGTTTATATGTTCCGAGGCTTTTCGTGCCTTTTGACACGTCTTTACTACGATTTGAGGCACTTAAAAGAGTTTCAGCCTAAATCTCGCCGGCTCTCATGGGACTGAGGCATTCGTCGCGGTGTTTGCTGCTACGGCGGAAGATGGCGGAGGCGGACAGCTCAGAGGTAGGGGACCTTGTGGTGTCCTGTACCCGGTTTCTCTCAGATTTCTCTCTCTCTCTCTTTTTTTTTTTTTTTTTTTTTTTTTTTTAATATACATGTAGTGACAACGTTTTCAGAATTATGTGCATTTTTAGTTTCGGCATTCAGTAATGTACGGCTACATCACTGGCTCTTGGGGGATTTTTTTTTTTTTTTTTTTTTTAGTGTCCTGCAGATGTTGGCTGAGTCTGCATGTATATCCGTAGACTCGTGTAATAGCAACGGTAGTGAGCGACGTAGAGTGCAGAGAATCCCTTTGCTTTTGGGCGATGATCCGGGGTGCATGTCCGCTGTCCTTGGTGCTGAAACGGAACCTGCGTCTTTAACCGGCTTGTCCTAGTGGTGTGCAGAATTAGATCGCAGCCATTGCATTTCTAGCACTTTCATACACGAGATATCGCTAGAAAAATATATATATATATTTTAACGTGCGTTTTTAAAAGAGGGCTTAATGTGCACAACACTGTCTAGATGTAGCACAGGTGGGACAAAATAATAGTATATAGGGAGTCAAAACTGTGTACAATGAAATAATGCTAAAAAATTGATGTGGCCACATATACTTGTGCTAAAAATTGATTATTTTTTTTTATCTCGGACTTCCCAGCTTGTATTCTGTTTCATTCATCCCTCATATCGACTTTTTTTTTTATCTCCCCCTGCAGTATAGTGCCAAATGTTTCCAGAAATAAACGAGGAATATATTGAATAGAATAGAAAAGAATCATCAGTGGACATAATGATGGGCAAACCCAAACACAATAATCTACCGAGTGCAGCTAAGCAAGATTATTTTAGTCTTTTGTCCTTTATTTTTTGTTCCCTTTCACTTTTTGTCCTTGAACTCTGTCAGTTGGGAAATCCCAATCCACAGCAGCTTTAGGATCTTCTACTATTCTGGCATCTTTTGCCACTTTCAGTACGTTTAGTGTATTTATTTTGAGAGACTTCCATATGCTGAGTTTATCTTAGTATAATGCAATATAAAGATGTATACCATGCAATGTACTTTTCACTACAGAAACAGTCACAGTTACTGCTGGATAGGAATATTTGTGAGAACACTTAAGTTCCCACCAGAATCGGTAAAATAAATGAATAAAAACTAAAAAAAAAAAAAGTCAGTTAAAATATTTGCCAGTGATGCAGGAAAAAAAATCCTCTAAGATAGCCACCACTGCTACAGTTCATGGTGCTGAGTTTCCTTCAGAGCCTTCATTATGTCTACATATTTACAGAACCTCTCTGCTCGCTCTCATAATGTTCCTGCAGCTGCTGTCCCTTGATCTATCTAACATCTAAATTCTGACAGAAACCTGGCCGAGCTCATTTCATTCTATTTCTTCGCTCACAGCGGCAACAGCCTGTCAGGTCCCCGCTTTCCCAGTCCGCCCAGCCCTCCCCTCTGCCGAAACCAGTGCCTACAACCCATCATGTGCCCTGCATTCCTCACACGCCTCATGTAGCAGCGCTCGCCACCTGTCCTGGACGAGGCAAGATTGCCAAGTTCGTAAGCCCGGAGGAAATGACATCAAGGGACTACTACTTTGACTCCTACGCCCACTTTGGCATCCACGAGGTACGCAGACCAGGCCGACAGCAGGAAGCACGGTGTGATTGGAGCAGAAGAATGACACCAGATGCTTCCTGTTAAACTTTGCCAACAAGTTTCATCCCTTAGAATCTGATCCTCTGACAGTGGGATATGTCAAAAAACAAAACAAAACAAAACAAAAAAAAAAAACAAAAAACATAATTTTACTGCTTCCATGAAAAGACAGGTTTTACTTCATGCCTTCCACAGAGACTTGGAAAAAGTTTTCATTCTTTTGGACACTTTCAACATTGTGTGTTTGGCTATACAAGTAAAAAAACTTTAGTTTATTTCACTGGGACAAACATGAAGCAGGGCATAATTGCAAAGTGGAGGGAATTGAAGCATAAATCTGAAAAGTGTCCAAAACTAACATTACCTTAAAACAATCATCCCTATCTGGGAGCAAGGCGGTGGCAGCGTCATCCTGTTGGAATGCAATGAAGGCTCCTTCCAGAGTATAGATATTCTGTGTCTAGAAAACAAACGACTGCATTTTGTCTGCAGAAAACCTTGAGTTTGGCAGTTGCCAAATGACACTGGGAGTTCAAACCTTTTATGGCTTCTGTAAGCAGAAAATCAAACACCAACTGCCTGATTCACCCGCAAAAATGCACTTCATAACCTCATAATCCAAAACGTTATCTTAAATCCGACAGAAATCTACAACAGCGCACCTGTATATCCACCAGCTGCCGAGGTATATGCATTAGCGGTGACATGATGAGGAATATTGGAGGGCCGTTGAAATATCTGTCTTGATGGAGCATGTCTCGGTTCACAAAAAGAAAGGGCTTTTCCATTATTAACTAGCACGAAAGACCCCCAGAGGCTGCATAATAGTCCATTATCAGCACTCCATAAGTGAAAACTATCTCTGCCTGTCTCTCACAATAATCTGCAGTGCACTACAGGGGAAGTAGCCTAACTAATGACCTTGATGTGTGAGGGAAATATGGTGAGAAAGTTTGGGGACGTATAGACCCCCGCCTCCTGTTTTCTTTTTTTCTTTAAATGGTGTCCTTATTTAGCATGTGGGTCAGCTTTTTCGTGTGCTTGCAGACAAAGAGTGTGTCCTGATTAAAGAGTTCAAAGCAAGATAGGAAAGAAAGTGGGATCTGTGCATGAGCTTAGGGAGATAGACATCAGGCAGTCCCCAAAGGCTTTGTGTTGTACTCCTGTCTATTTCAAGACGCCCTGACTGTCACCAAGGCTTCTGGCCTGGATTCTGTTTGTTTGTCTGTCTCCACACACACATACAAGCAAATAATGTGCTTACATGCAAACTTGTGTCTGGTTTTGTAAGAATCAAGCTATTCCTTGAAGCGTGTCGTTGGTTCGGTGTTCTAAAGGCTGTTTGGGTGGTCAACATATGTTACTGTTAATATCATCATCTCCAACACAGGAGATGCTGAAGGACGAGGTGCGGACGCTGACCTACCGCAACGCCATGTACCACAACAAGCATGTGTTCAAGGATAAGATCGTCCTGGATGTTGGCAGCGGCACAGGGATCCTCTCCATGTTTGCTGCCAACGCCGGTGCCAAACACGTGTACGGGGTGAGGCGAATAGATCCACCTTACAGTCCACAAACAGATGCCGCAATCCAACACTTACCGCGTTTTTGGTAAATCCCGACAAGGAAGCACGAAACTCAAAACGGCTTCGGAAACTGTTATTGGCCATGATTCAAAGATCAGTCGTCCACATTACTGTGTAGACCCACATACTGTGTTAAATTAGAAGGATACACAATATCGTATACAAAAACAGGATATACTAGAATATTGTATACATTGTATCTGTTCAATTGCAGCTATTTAAATTAAGATTTTCATTTAGATTTCTCAATCAAATTTATTTGTACAGCAGCACACGTCAGCAACAAGGCAGTTCAAAGTGCTGTACATCATAAAAACAGAAAAATACAAAGTTATAAAACACATTTAAATAGCATGTGACATCATATATCTGAGGCTAAATATTAAGGGGAAGGTAAAAGACAAATTCTCGTCTAAATATAAAACGAGAATGCGAGAAAAAGTGTGCCATGCATTTTGGAGTCGTCTTAGAATGATCTAGTGCTACAAACTGCCTTTAATTGTCCCATACACCATGCAGCGATTTCCAAAGCTTGGTTTTGTAACTTAACCAAGTTTTAAACATTTCTACAACTTAATCGCTGACCTGTCTGCTGTGTTTCTTGGCCTTCACGACGCTTTAAGCTAAAAAAGTACCGACAGGGAGACGTTACTTAGTAATTATGAAGGCAAATGACGATGCTGAATTTGATTTTGGGTTGTCAAGAGTAAAAGGTCATGTGGAATCCCATTTAATTCTGTAATATGACAAAGTGGATATTTCTGCGAGACACTTTAGACGTACTTGCTAAAACTGCAAAAAAAAAAAAAAAAACCTATTGGAAACTATTTAGAGAAAATAAACTGAATATCGCAACATCAATGTAAGAGTTTGTTTTCCTATGACCTGCTTTGCCGTTTTGTGAGTGAATCTTTCCCAATGCGAAGCACCGACTAAATGATCGCAGATGTTTATTATGGAGGGACTCTATCTGAGGCAGACGGTTAGGTACATTTTGTCAGGTTTGATTTATCAACTTCATTACACTTAACGATGGTTACATCTTGTAGCAGACAGAATATTAGTTTTTAGATGGATTAGAGGAGTTTGATTAAATTCTGCCATTCGGTATTACCGCAAGAGGTGCATGTAAGCGTCACTGTGCTGCTCCGACGTGACGAAATGTGGCGTCCTTCCTGGTGTTGCTATGGATGGATGCTGCCCAAATAAGAAGCAAGAACCATTCATATAAATGACAAAATATTAATGCAACTTAGCTCGCTTCAAAACAAATCTGTGGGGAATTGCTAAATTAAACCTTTTTATGTATTTTTTTTCTCCAGATTCAGTGCATTTTCTAGAAGTTTTAAGTGTCAAACACAATATGGTAAACAACAGTGAAGTAGAAGGAAATCTATGAATCCACTTCAATACATGTCTAGTTTTCTTTTGCTAAAAATGAAAATGGAGGAGTGCATTGTTTCTTTATATTGAGATCCCTCAATGAAATCCACTGCAACTAATTTGTCAGAAGCGATCTGGTAGATAAAATTTGTCTAAATTGGTTTGAAACGCACAGTTTTATTCATCTGTGTACCAATTTATACTTTATCAACCACTTCGAATTTGAATACATAAACCAGAAGTTTGTGGATAGAATGTCTGCCGAATGCGATGGAGCTAGAGGGGTTCTGCAGAGAGCTCGGCGTCTCCCACGTGTGCATGTCTCATTAAAACCATATACCCACGCGTTGTGTAAACACTTCAAGAAACATTTGACAGCTTCAAGAACAGACTGTTGTTTTATGCCCGGTGTGTGATCTCGCACTTGTTCCTGCAGATCGAATGCTCAAGCATATCTGAATATTCAGAGAAGATTATCAAGTCCAATCACCTACACAACGGTGAGTCAAAGGTGATTTTCCATTTTCCAGTGCTTAGATACCCATCTGTTTGTGCCGCGGGACTGTGCAATGGCGTTGGGGGGGTTAGAAGGAGCGTGGAAAATGGTTTGCATATTTCCATCGTTGCGGTCACGCTCGACAGTGTTAGTCACCGTTCTTGATGGCTAACTGGCAGTTTGTTTCCGTTGTCTGACAATCACGGTCTTTGGCATCAATCTTGGCTCCCTCAGAGGGGTTTATTTCCATTGTTAGCCCACCCTGTGCAACGCAGATGGTGGACTGGCAGGAGAAAGTGCAGTTTTGCACCTGAAATATTAAGCAAAAGTCAGTGAATGCTGTTTAATTGTGACATGTCAACTACTTTGCTTGTGAGGTAAGGATATCGTTTTAAAAAATTCTGAGGAAAAACAGTACCAACTCCTCTACTGCTAAGACTTGATAGCTATTTTATTACTTAATAAAAATTGCAAAAATATATGGTTTTATAAATATGTAACGCAAGAATCAAAGGCATGAGAAAACAAGACATTAAAACCATTTTACCCCGGGCTACAAACCCAGCACGAATCTCTCTTAATGTGCATTACGGGAATGAAGAAATGTGGAAGTAATTTGTCTCCTGCTGCCTTGTTTCTGTTCACGGTGCAGTCATTACCATCTTCAAGGGCAAGGTGGAGGAGGTGGAGCTCCCCGTGGAGAAGGTGGACATCATCGTCTCCGAGTGGATGGGTTACTGTCTCTTCTACGAGTCCATGCTCAACACCGTCATTTTCGCCAGGGACAAGTGGCTGGTACGACCGCAATCGTGGCGCATGCTTGACCGCGAGGCTTTGCATGTTGGCATGTTCGCCCGCGCGAACGGACAAACGAGGCCGTTGACACATAAAGAGACGAGACGGCGATTAAGTAGAGGGCTTTTGCCGTGTGGCGTGCGTGCCCAGGTGCCGAGGGTTATGCGTGAGTGGTTTTGTTGCCTGCCTCGGTAACAGCTGGAGGCCTTTAAAGCCGGTACATGTGATCCTAGATTACATGCCAGGTGTGCGAACAATGAAAATGATGGATGGCCTTTTGTGTTTGTTCTCTGGATACCTGAAGTCTGTCTTTTGTGCAGAAGCCCGGAGGCCTGATGTTCCCGGACCGAGCAGCTCTCTATGTGGTGGCCATTGAAGACAGGCAGTATAAGGATTTCAAGATTCATTGTAAGTAATTATTTAGGATTTGCTAACGGCCATGTGATTAATTCTCCCCGTTGCTATGCAAACGAATGACTTTGATGGAGGCGAAGTCAGTGCAGGAGGGAATTGTCTTCGCTTTAGAACTCTGAGACTCAATAAAGAAAAAAAATATTGGTCTCTTGGAGCCTATCTCGAGCTTAAACTATGTCAATATTACTTACATATTCTGTATTATCATCTGACAATAAATCAAACTATAACTTCTCCTATTTAAAGTCTGTTAAGACTACCAAAATAATTTCTGTTTGCTAAATACCAGAACAAGATTTTACACGTAGTAAAATCATTTATAGGAAACGTCAGGAACCAGAACCTCTCTAATCTGCGTTTGCCCAGCCTTTCAAGTTGGGAGACACAAGTAGGATGTTTTTTCTTTTGAGCTTCAATCACCAACTTGAGGCACAGCTGTGGGTGTAGTTTCAGGCAAAGCCTCAAGCGCTTCCGTTTCTGTTGTGACACCATGAGAAAATCAAAAGCAATGCATTGGGAGCAGAACTGTGAACGTAGCTCAGGGTCATCCTGTGGTCGAGTGTCACACTCACCCGTTTAAACAAATATGCAAAAATACAATTGGAGTCAGAGTGCCAGCCGCCTGGGGAGAAAAAAAGATACACAAAACCTTTGACATTTCCATGGAAATTACCATGATAAAAGCTGATTCATACTTACATGTATGTAAATGTCTGACTTTGAAAAACATAATTTTTTTCTGGCATTTGGCAAAAAGCTGAAGCTTTGGCATTCGTAAATTTAAGGTAGAATATTTTATCCTCTTAAAAATGTAAATACGCACTCGTGACAAAAGATAAAACATAAACAAAATGTTAATTAGTATTTGAATCAGTTTAAGTGGTTTTCATTTTGTCTTTGTTGCACACATAACTTCTATTTCATGGCATTCATGTTCTAATCCACACTTAAAACATTTGCTGTCAAGCGTGAACACAAAATATGTCCCAGGGTGTGCAGCAATTAGCGTGGCTCAGTGTAGCAAGTAAACGGGGAAAAAATGTGAAGGAAAGGAACAGGTTTGTATTTTAGTATTTGGCGGAGTGCATCATAGTGAAACTATGAGAAAATACGATGTTGGAGCTCCAGGTTAACTCGTCCCTTTTCTTGTGTTGAAAATCACTCCTTCCTGTTTTAATTTAAGGCACCTTCACAACTCAGACTCAACTAGAACAGGAGTGTTTTTTTGTTGTTGTTGTTGTTTTTTTTCCAGCGTGACTGGAATTAGGTCACGTCTTTTTGTGTAGCAAATAATCGGAAAGGCGTCTATTCAGAACAGATCGCCTGAGGTTCTACGGAGCAAAACAAGGCCACCGTGAGGATTGCAGAGGACAAAGTACTTTCACCTGGAAATGTAGGATTTAAGTCCCACAAGAAGTGTCCTGTTTTTAGTGTCCACTACGCTACGGGTGTGTAGGAAGCTGTTAAGAACGTAGCGAAAAATATAGGACAGCCATGTTTCTCACATGAACATGTGATGAACCCCATTTACACTAATAAAAAGCCAAAAAGTTCATTTTATACATCTTTCTTTTTTTTTTTTTTCAAAACATGAAACTGAGATTAGTTACACCCACAAATATGCAGTTCAGTAAAAATGTTTTGGGAAAATTAGAATATTGGATGTAAACAGTCTGTGGCTCTGCTTGATAAGGAAAATCAAGTTGCTACGTAGTAGCCTTTAGCTCTACTACATAGTTGGCTCTTGTGTTTCTCGTCTTCCTTTGCTACGACTTGTCATTTGGCCAACTAAGCAAAGTTATACAATGGTTCTTAAAGCTGGTATTTGTACCTTTTGGTTATGTGAGCAGGAGTCAAAGTCCTTCAATGGAAATTAAATCCGAATTACCCTGATTCCCGATCCCTTTTCATAATCTGAGAATCCGGGTGTCGAGGTTTCATTAACCGCAAGCCATTAACGGAAGTAAACATTTAAAATACATAATTTCCACGGAATGAATCGCATTTTGAATTACATTGTTGAAATGAACAAACAGATATTGATTGCATTGGCAAATTCATGCCGCCTGGGGTTAGAAATCCTTTTGGAGATTAGTCCTCAGTGTCCCGCAGAGCGCCCACCCTCTGAATGTGCTCAAATAGCTGCCGCAGTCAGAGGTCCGGGCTTAAACCTGTGGTCAAGATCAAAGCGCTCATTTTAAAAAGGTGCCACGCAATCTGGCGTCGACGCTGGATAACTCCTGCAGAGTTTTCCATCCGCCGCACAGGTGGCCCACTTTTATTACATCTAAAAACATCAAAAAAATCGAGGCGCAGTCGTTTCACGCAAATCCCAAAAGAATAGAGAAAGCTTCAGATTGTTATTTTTAGTAGCTTACGCGTTGGTGTTGCGTTCCTCAGCCACACGTTCTCAGCGTCTGGCCTCCTGACAAAATGAGGTGGAGTGGAGGGACAGAGGGACTGGAGGAGGGAAAGGTTGTTTGGTGTATTTTCAGTCCAAATTATAATAAAAAACAAGGCTGCCAGACATACTGGAGGAGGCTGGAGTTTATTTTAATGATGTTTTTTTTTTCTTTCTTTCTTCACTCTGAGCTTAGATAGACAGAAAAACTGATCTGGGCTGAAAGGCTTAGAGCAGGAACCAGTAGAACTAAGCAATACAAGCATGCATTGAACGCGCAAAAAAATTATAAATAATAATAAAATGTATGTAAAAAATTTTTTTTATTCTTTTTTTTATGCAGGGTGGGAAAACGTGTATGGGTTTGACATGAGCTGCATTCGCAACGTGGCCATCAAAGAGCCTCTGGTGGATGTGGTCGATCCAAAGCAGGTGGTGACTAACGCCTGTCTCATAAAGGTAGGTGCGTCTATGCAACGCTTCCGAGAAAGAGTCGCTGGGCATATTGTTTAGTCTTTCAAGTCAAATTCTGTCACACGTTGACAAAAAAAACAACAACACACAAACACACACACACACACAAACCCCCCCCCAACTATTATTCTGGCACACATCCAGGTGGTATCTTTTATGTGCTCAAATTCTGGAAATTCACCGACAGATATCACTTCCAGCATCTCTGAGCGCCTGCCGTCTGCCGAGGCTATTTTCTAGTACATAATGGAGCTTTCTGGCAAGTTGTAATAGACTGCAGGTCTGTTTCCTTCCTCCAGGATACAACGCTGGCTTGTCTTTCATCTCCCAAATGAAGAGAAGATGAGAGCATTCAGAGAGATTGATAGTTTTTTTGTTGTTGTTTGTCCACTATAGCTTCTATCAAAGCTTCCTCTTTTATTGCCTTCTTTCATCTGCTTTGCACCATCTATTTTTTTCTTCTTCTTCGATTTGGATTATCCAGTGCTTTTGTCTTCTTAGCCTCTCTGTCTTGCTCCTCCAACACTGTCTTTATTTTTAAAAACTCATGTTACAGATCAACATGAGGCGAAAAGAAAACTGCATTTTTTTTTTTTTATGTCAAACAAAGTATCTTTAACTCTGATGCTCCCAAATAAAATCTGAGGTAAGGAATTATTAGAAGTCCGTCAGTTATGATTAGCATAAATCGGGCTGTTCTGTAAAGGCCTCAGAGTTTTGTCAGAGAACAAAGCATCATGCAGACCAAGAATCATCTCAGACGACTCGGGGAATAAAGTCTAAAGCTGGATTAAGTCATAAAACAGTACACTGAGCCTCAAACATCTCACAAAGTACCGTTCAGTCCTTCATTTGAACAGTGATATCTCTGGAGGAGATACACAGAGGTCAGCAATTAGTTGCGCACCACGCAAAGTTGACTCTTATTGAAGAGTGGTTCAATGAAAGCAATGTAAGAAAGAAAACTTAAAAGAAATGCTCTTTAAAGTTTCCCAAAAGCAATTTGGACGACAACATTTACTGCTGAGGCAAAACACTGCTGTGTGTGTGGCAGAAAACTAAGAAAGAGTCCATCATCCTGAATACGTCGTCTCTAGAAAGTATTCATGCGAGTTAAGTTGCATAAATACAAGACTTGACCGGTGCTGGTCACAGATGCCGTCTATCCAGTCTGAGTGAGTGTACATTATTTTTTGCAAAAAGTGGCTGGCCTTTTAATTGTAAAGGTTGTGTGACAAAAGACTGCGTCAGCAGCAAAAAGAGGTTCCATAAAGTGTTGACTCCAAGGATGGAGAGGGAGAAAAGCACAGCATATACGCACCCACTTTCCAGACATTTCCTCGTCAACGATTTTGAAAACCACTTCTGCTTCACAGAGTTTGAGTTGGCCCGCCACTTTTATTCCCAATTAAACAGTTGAAGCGTGCGGTTTAACGTGACGAAAATGCGGAGAAGTTTAAGTGGTATGAATACTTTTGCAGAGCCCCATGCGTGTAAATCCAGAGCTCAGCTGCATATCTCCCTCCCATCTCACACTATCCTAATTTGTGCTGTCAGTCATTCTTCACAGGCTTAAATTACAAAGTCACTCCCATGTTTTTTTTTTTCCTCACCTCCCCCATTTTACTGCATAAAGATACGGTCCTGGTATTACTGGAGAGGACAAAGGTGTTAAATCACAATCTGTCATGCTGATGTAAAGCTGCTTGGGCGGAATGAACAGGTCTCAGTGTACAAAAAAAAAAAAAAAATCACGTAACTCATTATCTGCCATGCAAAGGAGGGACGTCAACTGCTCTTTCTCTATTTCGGGGCCCCGCTGAGATGGTGCAGCAGGTTGCCGAAAAGTCCAAGATGTCTCTGAGGCAACGCCAGCCACAAGGCAGGACTTGAATATAACACACACAGCCCCAGAAAACCTCCCTTCCAAGAGGACTCAAGGGAGGACGCCCACACAGCATGTGTAGTGCGAACATGCTTGATAATCCAGCCGTGATTCAACCTGTGGGCTTTTCGCGCGCAACAAATTCGCACATGAACCAAAAATCGTGGTGAATGTCGACGCAGCTCTGGCACGTTCACGCGCGCCGCATGTGCGAGAGGAGGCGGCGCAGCGCTGGCGTCTTGCGTCCCACTTGCTCCAGCATCGACCGAATCGGTCGAAAACGACGGGGGCAGGCAGTTTATTTATTATTATTATTTTTTTAATACTGCAAATATGGTTTCTGTGTGTGTTTTCAAGGAGGTGGACATCTACACTGTGAAGCCGGAGGACCTGTCCTTCACCTCGGCTTTCTGCCTGCAGATCCAGCGCAACGATTACGTTCACGCTTTGGTCACTTATTTCAATATGGAGTTCACCAAATGTCACAAAAAGACAGGCTTCTCCACCGGTGAGACTGGAACAAACTCGTTCCAATATGCATTTGTCATGTTGGAAATAAAGATGTCATAAAATCTGAAGTCTTCACATGTTAAATATTCTATAAGATCAAATTGGCTTGACTAGTTTTAGCCCCACCCACTGATTTTTATGGAGCAATATCTATAGAGCTGGTTAAAAACTCTGATTATTTGAACACACATTTAAGTAATTTTACACTAAACTGTGGAACCTAAAATTATGCGAGAAGCAATTATTGCACCATTAATTTAACTATTACTTTATTTGAACAAAAAAAAAAAATGCATATTTTATTTTATTTTTTCTCATCAAATGAATTCACTCAAATTAAACACTGGAATTTTCAAAAAAAAAATGTAATGTGAGATTATGTGGCAAAATAAAAACACATCCTTAACATACGTTTAATTGCCAAATATCGACTGATTTTTTTTTTTTCTTTTTAAACCAAAAACTAAATACGAAGATACAAGGGCATTTAAGTATCATTGGCTAAATTACGCCAACAAGTTCCTCCACTTCACCAAACCTCCTTTAAAAAAAATAACACAAAGGGAACTTGCATCATCTTCCAAACATGTGTTGATGACAGAAACCCCTGGTTTTCAGCTTTACGCGTACTCCTACATGCTACCTGGTGACAATACCTTCAGCAGGTTTCGCCAGAAATCATCAACCTGTTACTTGCACGTTCCGAACCACCGCCTTGCAGCAGTTTCGCTAATCGCTTCACCTTCCCCGCTTCCTGGCCACGCTCTGCTGAAGTTACGCAAATCAAACTAGTGTTTGCTGCCGGCGGAATCACCACTCGACTCTGCGTAAGCCGTTATGTAAGCCTGTTTTAATACATTCACGTACCAGTTGCTTACATAATGTCGTGTAGAGGAGGTTCTATGTTTGGCTGTGTCTGTTGGGGCCGAGGCAGAGCATCACTGAAGGAGTTCTCTCCTCTCCACCTTTATGTTTCTCCCACTGGGTGAGTGGATGTCAGCCAGTATGCTTTAAAAAAAGAAAAGAAAAATTTCCATGTATACAGGCCCAAGGCAGTTTAGAGCTCACCAGAACCGGTGTGCAATTTCTTCGTACCCTTACTTCCCTCAAGACAATATCCCCCTCTCGGTCTTCCTTGCCTTCTTTCAATAAGTTAACCAGTCAAATTTCTTTCCCCTGTTTTCTTTCCTCATTTCATTTTTTTTTTTTTCTGAGTTACATTTTTTCCCTTTTCTTCCTCAGCTCCAGATGCTCCCAGCACACACTGGAAGCAGACTGTGTTTTATTTAGAGGACTACTTAACTGTCAAGAAAGGAGAAGAGATATTTGGCAGCATCACCGTTAGACCCAATGAAAAGAACGTGGTAAGACTCAAAAGCGCTGATGTTACTCAGGTCCTTATAGAACGCTACAATAATTTACATATAGAACTTATTATTTGTGGAGTAGAAGAACTTGAAGTATTTGCTTTTCGCCTCTAGAGATTTAATATTTCTTAGCTCAAGCTCAGTCGGATGGGATTAAAGGTCTATTCCAAACAATTTCGCTACAGATTCTCATTTGTATTTATGTCTGGACTTTGATTGGGCCCTTCTAAAGCTCTGATGTTTCACAGTGTGCAGACTTTAAAAGTGTTTTTTTTTTTTAGCTTTACCCATCTTGTCAACTCTGACAATATATAAATGTATATATATATATTCCAGGCCAATGTCTTTTAATTAATGGCTTGTACAATTTTATGTTGTGTTAATTGAAAAATGAATGAGTCTAGATGTCATTTAGCTCATTGCATTTGAGTCAGCTTCTATGCTTTTACTCGTGTGTGTGTGTGTGTGTGTGTGTGTGGGAGTTTTGCTTTGTCTTCAAGTAATTTCACTTCACATTTTTTTGCAGCGCGACCTGGAGTTCACCCTTGAGCTAGATTTTAAAGGACAACTATGTGAAGCTGCCATTTCTCACGACTATAAAATGCGCTAGCAGCAAGCAGAGGCACCGGCGCAGGTCCGCCCCGAGGCAACCCCCCCCCCCCTGGACAAAGCTGGAGGACGAAGGCTGTCCAGGAAGCGGTCCAGCTGATCAGGGTGGGAGGCAAACGGGTATCTTTACTGGATGCCGTCAAGTCTGCATGGAAGCGATGCACTCAGGATGAGCGTCGAATCTTCTCAGCGTCGTCACAGATAGAGCCGGTCAGAAGTTTACATACGGCCATTGCGTATACAGATCCTTTGTTTGAATGATTTGAAATATCTGAAAAACAACAAATAAAAGCTGGGTCTACCCGTTAAGAAAATTGTTGAAATATTCAGACAAAGTGATGCCACGAGCTTGTCGATGTTTACCATAGTGGAGTTGCCGTTTCTCTGCAACTTGTGATGACACATGTATCCAAATGATGGACGTGTGTTTGAACCCGCATGTATAATTTTGACCCAGCGCAAATCTAAACTTGTGGACCAAATTTTTATTGTTTAAAAACGACAACAACAAAAAAATGTCGATCTAGCTATCCTCGACACAACCTGTGGTGCTTTTAACATGATTCGTTAAAAGCGCCAAATGAGCATGACATTAATTCGAAAGATAAGCGTATGTAAACTTCTGACAGCAATCGTAAAAATAATGCAACCCCATTGTTGAATGTAACGGCGTACAAAAAACATGACTTTTGCCTCGTTCTTAAGAGATTCTTTGATTTTTTTTTTTTCTTAATGAGACAAAAAGCTTAGGAATGATTATTTACCGTGTGCAAATTGGAAACGTCAAACGTGATTTCAGAATCTAACAGGATCTTACCGTATAAAGCAGTCTCTACCACCTCTGTGGTTTCAGATAATAATAATAAAAGCAAGTAATTTAAACTCAAAGCAAATGTTTAAATCAAGATCTATGGATTGTAACAATGACTGGGAAATGATATGCTTACTGGCCCCTTTATCCTCAAGTCAACGTCACCACATATTTAGTTCATTAAAAACTAACATGAGATGTTGCATTGTCAAAAATAGTAATAATGTCAAATTGAACGTAAGACTAAAACTGGAAAAAAAAAAAGTAAAATCCAGAAATTTGTGCCTGTGTAGAAAGTTTTTACCTTTTTTAAATTATTATTTTTAAATGCCATAACCTTGGGTGTGATTTGTAAACGAGGAGACTGGATTTGCATGGGACTCCACAGACAGGCTCTGTTGTTGTTTTGCATAGAAAGTAAGATGAGTCATCATTTCCTGTTTGTGGTTTTTGGGTTGTGGAGTGAGGGGCGGCGGGGGCATGGGGGAGCAGGCGTTGGCCATCAATTCCAGAGATATAGAAAATGCTGCTTCACATATTTCTTTTATTGTCACCAACTCAGAACAAAATGTGTTTAGGCTTCAGAAAAAAAAAAAAAAAAAAAAACGCAGGAAAATGTCTAAGACAACAAAGAAACACTGATGCAATATGTCTTGGGTCATTCTTTTGAAAAATAGGAAGACCCACGAAAATTGAATAAGACACAACGTTGGATGTGATGATGAATAAAATGTGAAATAAAATAAAATGTGTGCGGTTTCTCTTTCCGTTTTCTCCCACTATTTTTTTTTTATTTCTATTTTTTTCAGCAGAAGATGCATCAAAAAGAGAACATATCATTAATAAAGGTTTTCAGGGTGATTTTTTTTTTTTATCACACATATTACCAACTAATTTACAATTAGATACTTTCTAAATCTCAGACATTGCACTATTGTGATTAACATGTTTTTTAACATGTTATTTACATGTTTTTCATTACGGTAGACACTCTTGGAGCTTCAGTATTTCACCAGTTTTTTCTTCAAGAAATACAGTTCTTCACACCTACATTTTTATGTTTTTTTTTCTCGCTGAAATAAAAATAGTTTTTTTGAAAGAAACCCTTTTAAAGTGAGGTTTCTACAGCAGTTCAACATCTAATTTACTCTTTTTTTTTTTTTTGCTTTTGTGCAACTGTCAGAATCCGATGTAGGACTCTGTAAATTGCTGCTGTCAGAAATTCAATCTGTCCTTGTTTTTGCAAGGATGGGTGTCTTCACTTGCAGCAGGCTTTCTTCTTAATGGGCTGAGCACTGAGGCTGACTGTTGTGTCTCTTACCGTGTCCTCCTGCTCCATTAAAATCCTAAAAACACACAGAGCAGGAAGAGAGAATGAGTCAACAGTGCCATATCACCCCCATTTTCACTCCAGCTTCTCCTGAGCAACTGGATTTATCACTAAGGTGTTTCAAAGTTACTGTCTTACCTGGCCAGGTGAGTCAGGGACTCGGTCACATTTTTGCCGGTGTAGGTGCTGACCTCAAAGAACATCACCTTGTTTTCCTAATAAAGATGAGCAAAAAAAAAAAAAAAAAAAGGATGTGAAACCATGTGACGTGTTTCTTTTTCCACATAGAGACAAAGCAGAATTTTATTACACTGATTGTTTCTTTACAAGTAAGAAGAAGTTAGAACGTGTATTATCCTGGAGGCACATGTAAACTTACAGAAGCTAGTTGCTCTGCATCTTTAAAAGACACCTCCCTCTCTCTTGTCATGTCCATTTTGTTGCCCAGCAGGAGAATGGGGATGCTCTCACCTGCTGCCTCCTGGGAAAATAAAAAAAAAAAGGGCGCCACTAGCTTACGCACTGCATTTCTGTGAGATGGACTAGATTTAATCAAAGCTTGAGGTGGAAGCAGCAGTGGAAGTTGGTGAGGCCGTTTGAAAATGTTGAAAATAATGCCAGCATGTGTTTTAAGCAGCTGACTGAATTCGGGCTGCAGGAGCAGACAGCATGAGTAAATAACTGCTGCTAGCATTTGATAAGCTTGCTACACTGTAACATTTTGCACAATATGTACTTTAATTCAATTTGATTAAAATACATGTAATAACAGTAAATAACATTATTCTAACTATAGCGTTCTCTGTTTTAAGTAACTTAATTGGGCCAAAAAAAAAATATTGTTTTTAAATATTAATCTCGGTGGTTATCAGACCACAAGAATCCCCTTTTTTCCACATCAGAATATAAACAAATAAATTTGTTATAGATTGGGTTATGAGGACACAAGAATAGCTTTGATGGTGCTCAGATCTTTTAAGTAAAAGATTAATGAGCAAGTTTGTGTTGTATGGTGAGAAACAATAATTTAAGGGCTACTCACTCCCATTTGGTTATAAATACCTAAAAATTTCCAAAATGACAGACTTTTTTTTGTTTGTTTGTTTGTTTGTTTCAAAGCTATAGTGAATATAGTGAATGTACTTTAAAGAACTTCAACATGTGAAGTCTTTTTTTTTATTTTTTCTGGACATTTTTTGAAGTCCTAAATTTATTTTAAATTCAACAAAGTCCAATGCTTTCGCGGGTTTTCCTGACTTATCGTTCATGTTTAGGCCCCTGGAGTAAGTACAGTAAACCATGTGTCCTAAAAGTCATTGAGAAATCGAAAGAAGAACAAACGTAGACCTGAAAACAACTTGGAACAGCCGGTTGCATAAAGCTTCCCGGGTTAAATTCCCCACCTGGACGTTCAGAAGCCAGGGTCTGACAGCTGCGAAGCTCTCCGCCACCGTGACATCATACAGTAACACCACACCATCGGCCTTGCGAAAGAACTGCTTGGTCATGCTGCGGAACCTGGGTAAAGGTTGGAGCAAACTAGGTTGGATATAAAACACGGCGCTTGACGTTTACACCGAAAATCTACAGTGTCTCACAATCATTTGCTTGGGGGATGCAGCCGTTCATTAGTAGCACTATTAGCATTTAAGTTAACTAGCTGATGGTTTAAGCGTCTATGACAGATACTTACAATCTGAAAATGAACTCACCTCTCCTGTCCTGCAGTGTCCCAAAGCTGCATTGCTATTTGCATATTGTCCAGTGTCAACGTCTTCACGCTGTAGTCGATGCCTAGTGAGAAAAAGCTTTAGCATTTATTCCATATTAAAATATTACACTGATGTACCAGTTACATAAGAGAGCACGCAGTGCTGGCCGCACTTATTGGCACGGCTAGTTGAAGAGTAAAGCAGTAAAACATATTCATCTCCTAGTGCAGCAGCTTAATCTCACACTGAAAATCTTCAGTAAAATACAATTTTTATTACACTTCCAATTATGTTAGAGGAGGAAAAACAAAAATCATACTAAGATTGTTTTTTTGTACCAGCTGGGAAATAAAAAATTGATCATCTTGCTGTATATTTCGCAGGTCCCTTTTGATGATAGATCAGAATTTAGTCTTACCTATAACGACATGATTTGTTTTGGATCACAGCATCACAGATCCCCACAATACCAGAACGTCGGAAATATCTGCCTTTCCACGTATTTATCTTTTGTTTACCGTTAGATCAATGTCTGATCTGATAAAAAAAAAAAAAACAACAACCTTTTATCATTTAGATGGGTTTATTTTAGAATTTCTGATCACCTATAAAAAGTATTTTAAAAAAGGCCACAATTACCTCGATATAAAGGACTGATTGGGATACCAACAACTGAGCTTGTTAAAAAAAAGCAAATAAAACAATTTGAATGTGTAAACGATTGACTGAATGTAAAGTGTAAATTGCTTTGGAGTCCTCAGACTTGGAAAAAGCACTATACAAATGCAGGCCATGTACAGCATGGAGTTATTTTGTGTGTGTTTTTTTTTTTTTAAACAAGGGATGCTAAGAAATGTGAGCAGCATTGCATATGCTTTGATTTACAAAAGATTCTTTTCAAGAACGGCCACCAGAGGACCTTCGAGTGACTTGTACCAGAGAAAAGAGAGGGAATGAGGATAACTGAGGGTGAAGGATGAAAGCAGGCTTAAAAAAATTCACAAGGAGTCACTTAATCTCCTGTACAATGTGAGTCGGGGCTCCAAGATAGGCAGTGTGACTTCATAAGCCCTTCCATGTGATACTTATTCACCCTCAGATCTTCTTTGTTAACGTCTATAAGCACACGACTTCTGTTTGTTTCATGGTCGCAGCATTAATGTCTTTCTTCTCACCCACAGTAGCCGTTGTGGACGGGTGGAAACGGCCCTCACAAAAGGAGCGCAGCAAGGACGTCTTGCCTACACTGGAGTTCCCGACCAGGACGACCTTAAACAGACGATCCGGGGCGAACACGGCGCTTTCCTTTGCTTTCTGGGGATAAGAAAAATGTGTTGTATTTGTTGCGCAAACTAAAACTCGTAATGACTCGTTTGAGACAAACTGAAGCAGTAGACTCACTGGTTTGGCCTCCTTCCCGACAGGCTGGCATCGTGGAGACACTGGAGTCTTCTTCACTTGGGATTTTTTAGTAGAAGAAGATCCGGTAGGAACAGTGGCGAGTCTCGAAAGAGGCGTCGCACTGAGATCAGGACTTGTGACAGCACTGGTTTCAGCCTCGCTATGAGCTTCCTCTTCATAATCATCTTCTTCCTCCCTGAGCTGGTGCAGTAACGGCTGGGGTCCGCCTTGAAGAAGGTGCGGCAGGTGGTCTTCCTCAATCGAGATGACCCTGCGAAGCGGCCAGCCGTCTGTCGGCTCACCGAGCACGTCCTCGTCCTCTTCACTCGTCTTCCTCTCGGACTCTCCTCTGTTTGAGCTCTCTCTGGTTTTCACCACCACTTTCCTGTCGGCTGCGTTTTCAGCCGACGTCCTTCTGGGCTTTGGCTTCACGTCTTGAACTCTGGCTGGGCCTGGGCTGACGATACCGTTGGCTAAGGTTGAGGCTTTCTTCGCAGCAGGTCGCTGCCGACGTGCAGCGGTGCGGGCGGTCGACGCTGCGGGGGCGTCGTCGTCTTCACTACAGGAGGAGGAAGCAACAAACACGATTTGAAGGTGCTCTATGGGCAAGGCCTCCAGAGACTGGAAGGACCCTTCCACCAGCAGAGGGTCTCTTTAGGAACAGAGGAGAAACAGAAGACACACTGAGATGACTGGCACAGATATCTGCAGGCCAAAATCCCTAGAATGCTTCTGATCTGCATATTGAAAAAAATGTTTTATCTAAACTGATCAAACCAGTTTTCCTCTGTTTTTCCTCACTTTTACAGAGCATCCCCAACTACAAACTCACACTACACAAGAACAAACTTCAATCTTTTTATTGTCATGTGTAATTTTAAAGGAGAAGGAAAATGTAATGTGAACGTGTAAAATGTACTTTGTCATGGTTTCCCCACACACGACCCCAGTAATTGAAAATCAGGTTTGTACATGTAATGCAACAAAAATGTGGAAATGTTTCACGTTTTGCAAGTTCTGCATGAATATTATTTTTTTTTTTTTACTTCACAAAATTCTGTATATTCTTGCTAGCATAGAAAATGATCCCAAAAGTTTTCTCACAGTAGTAAATATGACGACAAATGAATTACCTTTTTGCTGGTTGACTTTCGTCATCAAATAAGTCAGCGAGGCCCTCCGTCTGCTTCTGCTTTTTTCTGAGTGAGGTTCGTGGCTTTTTTTTTTTTTTTTTTAAAAAAACAAAACAGGTTACTTAAGTTTATCTCCAATCGGTGTGGTTTTGCAAATATATTGATAAAGAACTTACAACGGCGCAGAATATGTCTCGCTCATCCTTCAAGTGTTTGTTCACCTCTCTGGAACGAACATGGTTGCTTTTATCTAGTCAAGTCTCATACATTTAAAGGAAAGAGACCAAGAGCCGGATTTGGGGAAACCGCCGGTCTCACCTGAGGAGGTCGAGCTGCTTCATGAGGCACTGCTTCTCCCTCTGGAGGCCCTCGGTTATTCTGTACATTTCCCTTAAACGGGACGAACATCACCACAGACTTCTCAGTCAGAAAGAAAATAAATCAAACCAACAACGAGAGTTCAACCTTGGAGAATAAAGAGTTTCTACCTACATCTCTTTCTCCTGATGCAGCCTGGCCGCCTGCTCCTGCAGCAGAGCCAGGTGCTCCTGAGCCAGAGAGAGCTCCAGGCTGGTGCTCTCCAGCGCTCTGGACAGCTCCTCGTTGGTCGTTTTCAGCTTGACATTCTCCACGTGGCTCTCCTGCCTCTCGCTATTCAGCTCATGGCACTGGAGCTCTAACTGCCAAAAAAAAAAAGAAAAAAAAAGAAAGTGTTTTTGTTTTTCCTAATTACCCAGACAAGTATCTGCAGCTAAACATGGAGCATAGATATGGTTTTGTCTGCCTTTTGCTTTTAAATGCAGAATAATATTTAAATTGTATTTATCAAAGACCAATTCTTGATTTGTATGCCATTACGGTTCAGCAGGCTACCTATGTAATTGGACCAGAATAAAGAAAGAGTCAAATCCTGAGTCAGTCAAATATCCTATAGCATGGCAGAGTTCGTAGGACACAGCAGGAGAGATCTCAAACAGCTTTCTGTGGCTAATGTTTTCCTATCAATTAAGAACAAAACCCTTTGAATAAGTCCAATGACATCACAGTCCTGGCAGCGGTCCCATCTGAAGGTGCCACAATTAGAGCAAATGTGGAGAAACGGCCACAACTGCTTGCCAACAGGAGGCATTTTCCTTTTATTGTGGCAGCAGCTGTGTTTATTATGAAATAAGACGCAGTCTCCGGTCCTCCAGGTGTCCAGCACTGTAACTAGGCTTGCCGGGGATTAACGTGCAAGGTGCAGCGTGCATCGACGTACCCGTTTCTGTTTCTGGAAGAGCTGCTCCAGCTCTCGCTCTTTGGAGAACAGCTGGTGCTCCAGCTCCTGGCTGCGCACCTGAAGGCGCTCCGAGTCCTGCAGGTCGGATTAGAAACGCTCGGAGGTCACAAGTAGGTAAAAGCTAAACATAAAAAACCCAACCTCAAAGATATGCGCCAATAATTTTTTTTTTTTTTTTTTAATTGATTTTTGTATCCATTTTCAAATTCAGGAAGATGATGATTTTGAAAATCTCTTACAAGGATCACAAATAGTCTTCATATTAGTTGGAGATACTTCTTTAAAGAAAAAAAAAAACCTAAAGTTTATAAAAACAAGGTATGCTGAACAGGAAATCATTTCTCCATTTTTTTTTTTCATGCTACCAACAGAGAAGCAGGTTTGACAGTTTACTTCTCTGTATTTGAGCTCCTGCACCTGCAGCACAAGTCGATCCCTTTCATTTTTGATCTGCGCCTCCATCTCTTCGTACAAGTGGCGGATCTCGCTGTCATGCGTCGCCGTCTTCCTGGAATGAAGAGATAACTATAGTCATTTTGATTGGATCACAAAAACAAAAACAAACAGACCACTCTCTAGTCTCTGCTTGATGGGTATTAATAATTATGTCGACACACTTACAGACTGATTTACAGAAATTTGCGCCCCTTTGGGGGGGAAAAAAACCCCAACCTAGACTCTAAACAGCCAATTAGCGAAGTGTAAAGGAGAAAAGCTGCAGTGTACCATCTGGTGCCATGAGAAATTCTATACACAGTTGATGCTGGCTCTGTTTGGAAAAACAACTGCAATTTTACATAATCCCCCTACTCACCCAGAGAACATTTTGTTCTGCTAAACAGAGGAGGGAAGGAGAGAACAGAGCGATTATTATTTTGTTTTCACTACACGATCAGGAATACCAATGCTTTCTTGCACTACCATCAGTCATAAATCGATTGTAGGTGAATTGACACAGATATGGAATTACTTGTAAACCCAAACTAATAATCAGTGGATTTTAAATGAGAGGGAAGTAACAGAATATGGTGTATAAAACGTGTTCCTTTCCCTTCAATTTCCTTGAAAAAGCCTCGTATAAAAAAAAGAAAAAAAGAAAAGGATTTTCTTACCTCTGTAAGGCACTTTCCATCTCCTTCTTTTCCTGATGGGCCTCTTTGATTTGGTATGTTACCCTGGCCAGAAATTCCTCAAAGTTGGACAGAAGGTGAGGCTCGTCTCGCCTGAGCTGGGCCCAAAGGTTGCGCACCTCACCTGGACTGGGGAGCAGGGATTTGCTAAATGCATTTGGACGATGATGGGCTTCGTTAATAAATGCAAAGCAGCAACAAGACAAAGGTGGACAAAGCTTACTCCTCGAACACATTGCTGGCTCCGAGACTTTCCAGCAGCATGCAGAAGTGTCTCTCTTCTTCGTCCTCTACCCCCGACAGCCTGGCTTCCCACTGACTCTGGTAAAGAGCCTCCTTAGCCTTCAGGACGGGCCCCAGGGCCCGAGTCTGGTCATCTGTGACAGAGATTCTCCGACCGTGCAGGAACTGACCTGAAAAGTACACCCAAACAAGTTTCAAAGTTTGAACGCACCGGGATGCACTCCAGTATGCGAGTGTGTGGGTGATCCATTTCTGAAACGCGTCCTTCGGGGATCTGCTGTTGAAGATCTGCGGATCGTTCCAAACTTCTCTGGTGTAAAAGCCGATTGTCATTCAGTTTCAGGGTTTAACTGAATCGGGTTCACCACGGCTTATTTAAAATCCACTCTCCCCACACATCTCCACGCTTCAACACCCTCCTAATGGCTTTCAAACATATGCTTTGCTGGATTGAGTTCACGCTTTTTAAACACATTCTGAACTCCAGAATGAACAGACAATCCAACATAACATTTTCGGGCCATTTTCACTTGCGGGCAGCGCAGTTTTTCCTTTGCCCCTCTGTAAACAATTACACGCCTCAAAACAAACAAACAAACAAACAAACAAACAAAAAAAACACTAATGAATTTTTATGCATATTTCCCATAAAAACAACAGTAAGAGACACATTTCGTTGCTCGATGTCAACTTGGCAGTAAGGTTTATTCATCTCCTTCAGCTCTGATAGGACTCTAAGCTGTGAATGCCAAACAGGATCTCTCTGAAGCAGAAAGGAAGTTTGTTGAAGGAGAGGAAACGTACTGAATCTGGAGGAAAAGGCCTCCAGCGTGAGGTAACCGGCACGGTCCGTATCCAGGGAGTCAAACACATCCTGGAGCTCCTCGGCAGATAGGGGCAGCTCTCTGTGGAGCCTCTGTTGGGAGAACAATGTAAACAGACGGGACTTTTAAAATGCTGGAGGTGAGCTCTACCAGAAACTGTTCCTTCCTGAGGATGTTGTAAAGTGACATTAGAGGCATTTCAATCTGTTCCCAGGGACTTTCGACGCTTGAAGATCCAGGCAGAATCGCCTGAGAACGCAGCTCTTTCACAGCTATTCTAGGTAATGTTCCTGCGTCTTCGTTAAGGTAGGTGTGTGAGTGAGCTTTATGATGCGCATAAAGCTTTTCGCCGGTGGTACTCCTCCAGCACTTCTACGGCTGTTTGGGTGCACTGAGAGGGCAACGTGTTCCCCCTCAATCATTATAAATGGGGAAAAAAAAAAAAGAATCCAGAACACAGCCAGATGGGGTGCCACCGAGTGTTTCCTGTTCGTTATTCGCCATTATTAATGCCAATGAGGAGACTAAATTGTGTCGCCGATAAAAGCGTGAACGCATCACCTATTGTTCATCTCTGCAGAGCTTTAAAGGCATCCACAGATTGTTCACATTTTGGTTTTTTCATCCTAGAGAAACAATCTTTCCAACGATTTGTGTTCACACCCCTCAAACCTTCTTCACATCGTCGTGTCGCGGCTACAAACTTCAGTGTATTGTATTCTGAGGTTTTAAGTGACGGACATGCACAAAGTGGAAGACGGATTGGAAAATCGTGTTACAAATGAAAACTTTAAGTGTTTTCATCTCCACTTTCTGCTCCCCCCCAACTCCACTAAATAACCAATTGACTTCAGAAGTTCCATATTCACCAAAAAGACTCAAGTTGGGTGCATTTTAAACTCAGCATTAAAAATCCTATTTACAGGAGACACACCAAACAAAAATGGTAAAGGAGTACGAATACTTACCCAGATATTGTCATTATAATCGATTTGCTAACTAACTTCTGATAGACTTTATCTGTATATTTTTTTTTAAAGAGATTTAACTTTTTTACGTTCGCAGAAACACACCCTCATATCGGTGCGGGTGATGAAGCCTTTCCCCTCCACGTCGCAGGTCTGAAAGAACTCCTTGGTCTTATCCAGCAGGGCGATGTGACCCCACTCCGACCCTCTCCGTCCACAGCCGTTCACCCTGACTTCTTCTTCCTCCTCCATGCCCGCCACTCTTCAACGACACAACGTGTGGGGAAACGGCATTCACCTCTGGCGGTCGTTTGGGGAAAAAGAAAGAAAACTTCACTTCACTGGCTCTCTCTCACACCCACACTCCCACCCCCCCCACCTCCCAAGCCTTTTACAGTCACCATGATCTTGGAGGTAAAATGCAGCACCAGAATGATGAGCCTGGAGACAAGCTGTGAATGTGCTCCAAAACTAGGAAAGGGTTCTGTATTAAAAGAAAAGAAAAAGAAGTTAGATTTCATGCTTCGTTTTTGCCTTGCAATGTCTTAAGGTGTTAAGAAAGATGGACTTTTTGTGAAGGAATGTGGTTACATAATCATGCAGCTATACTGTAGTTCCTTTTTTTTTTTCCTTCAGCACAAGAAACGAGCAGCTCAGAGGCACATAAATGTGGTGTGAAGGATCGTATTAGTTCCCCACCACACAGAACACAAGACAGGATAATGCCTGTAAAACTGTGGTGCCGATTTCTCAACAGGTGTTGCATCTCTGCTTTCAAGCGGCCATTTTGGTTTGCAAAGTTGTTCAGTTCAGGTTGGGAGTGTAGTCTCACTTATTCTGAACCATGTAAAGTTCATAAAATCAACATGAAGCGTGCACTTTGATTTATTTGAGAAAAATGTGGCTTTTTGGAGAGATGTTCAGCTTCACAGAAAATTGGAACAATGCAAAAACCAAAAGAATAAAAATAAGAGTCCCTGCACACGCAAAATTTACCCTAAATTTCTTGAATTTAATGTTTCCAACCCTCAACATCATAGGCAGTTATTTATTCTCACACTTTCAAGATGGAACTCTGTCAGACAAACTCCAAAAAAAGAAAAAAATGTCTTACCTTTCTCGACGTGTTAGCGCAGAAGTCTGTCTCTAATCTTCATATCAACAAAGCGTTGAGCGTGCTCTGCATTTAGGAAGTCCTGTCTTACGGAGGACTGCTCAACAAGTCATTCTGCAACCATGTGATGTCATGAGGAAGCAGCCCGAGGCTTTTCGGCCTGCGTGCACATACAGAGCGGGGCGCAGGTTTAACTCTAGTTTCTGTAGGCTGAGAGCATTTAATCTGGTTGATGACAGCAAATTAAAATCACGGCTGCTTGAATGTTAATGATTTAACTCGCAGTGGAAAAGTAAAACCACTCGCCAACGGTCAACTGAGGAGTTGACTGTTGGTGTGTTGTTGGGGAAAAAAACAAACAATGATTTTGTGTTAGTTTGAAGATAAAAAAAAATAAAGAAGTGCTTTTTTTTTCTTTTATTTTATACAAGAAACAAAATTTAAAAAGGAAAAAAAAAAAACATATCTCCACACCACAGTGCCATCTGGTGGTTTGACAGTCCTTCTACACACAAATGTTACAAAATAACCTGAAACGAGATGTAAATTTTCCTCAGTTACAGTTGAGAATTTGTCATTTCAGACAAACAGAGGGTAAAATCACAGCCTTCCTTCAGGTTTTAAATGATGGTCAGTTAAATCAGTTCAAGCAGAGGAGTCATTTATCGGCTCCTTGGATCTTCTGAAGTAAATATTCCATTTGAACGTTCAAGTTCGGCTGTCCTTTCTTAGTCTTCTGACTCAGCAGGCGGAACGTCTCAACTTTCTTCTGCTTGTACCTGTGGATGGCTTCTTCTCTCTGCTGCTTGTTCTTCAGATACGCCTGTTGAACAAGAAATCGAATGAAAGTCACAAAAGGTCAGCGAATTCATCCAGCATTAAACAAGCAAGGCAAATGCGTCACCTCTTTCTTTAGTCTCCGTTTTTCTTGAATGTTCTCAAATTCCTCCTTCGTCTTCTGGTAGGATGTCTTCCTTTGAATTTTCTTTCGCATGCGGTTGCTTATTGGAAAGCTAAAAAGAGATATAAACGTGATTAACATCTTGTTCAGAAATCAAGAAGCACCTATTCTATGTAATGTAGGCAAAAAAATTAACGTGATCTCTTTTTTTTCCATCACACCAAGTGGAAAATCTTAAGTTCATGCCAACCCCACATACAGTAAACCAAAATTAAACAAGAAACATTTCACATTTATACAAATAAATGATGCCATTTATATGACAAATGCACTACATCCAAACTCCTTGAAAACACAGAAACATAAAGTGCTGATTGTCAACCCCTGGTATGGGATTTGTGTTACGACGGATCAAATTGTCACCTTTCTTGCTCCGATGTTGTTGGCTCAGGATTCCCAGAAGCGGAATCCGTCAGCTCAGATCCTCCAGTTAAGTCTGTACCAGGAACATCAGCGTTATTTTCAGTTCCGTCCTTCATCTGCCCCCTCATCCTTAGCTTGCTCCTGTTCACTCTGTTTTCCCAAGCCTGTTTCCTCAGTTGCTCAGCCTCCGCCAGGTACAGATGCTTGAGGTGTTCTGGGTACTCCTCCTTGTACGCCACATTGGCCTTGGGGTTCTTCTTACGCTCCCTTCTCAGCAGTTTGTTGTACTCGTGTCTGATTTTCTCCTTTTTCTTAAAAGCAAACCCTTGGCCTGATGGTGGGGAGAGGGAGAAAAATCAGCAAGTTTTAATGCTTATCCTGAATTTCTTTAGGAGAGGTGTCAGAATAGCTTTAAAGTTTGGAACAGAAATCGGGGATATCCAATGTCTATGTTAAAACAAACACACATCTAAAAGCTACGAACAGATACCCTTGAGAACCTGAATTTGAAACTGGTCTATATAAATGAATATTCATGTGTTAGAATGGCCCAGTAAAAGTTTAAATTTAACCCAACTGACAATATGTAGGCGTGTAATTGAACCTCAGTTTCATCAATATTCAAAAGAAATAAAAAATACATTCATGGATATACACTTAAGTTTTTTGATTGGAACGTCACCAAGTATGGGGAATGACTTGAATACCTTTGCAAGACATTGTCATTATACACGTTTATATCTTATTTTACGAATTAGTCCAGATCTACATTACCCAATAACGGCTAGCTAATAAATTAAGTAACATAGCGTGGTGAAAAAATAATAAACTAGACACACATACCTTCTTTAATGCTGCCTTCAAAGATTTTGTTGTGCGGTATCCACTTCTTTTTCTTGTTTACCCCACCTGACGCTTTTCCTTCTTTCCTAAAATTGCCATCTTTGATTTGAGCTTTGTCGTTTTTCCTTTTCTGGTTCGTCGGCGCCATTTGAAAATCAAATTATCACGAAAAACCGGACGTTTATAACTCTTTCATGCTACTTTAGCTAGTTATTCTCAAGCCGCACGCTGTTTTCCTGCTGATGCTGCGTGATGACGTAGTTCAACCAGGCAGGAATAATCGATTACGGATAGATTACGTTCTTCACAAATACTACTGTTGTTAATTACGAGATAATTGCCATTTAAATGTTAATGAAATATTTTTCTACGCTATACCAACCCAAAAAATGTAAGCTTTTATATCAGGAAAATATAAAGAACAAAAGCTTGAAAAAAGAGCTTTATGTCATCGACTACTGTTTTTGACTACCAACGACTTGTCGTTTGGAGAAGGAAACAGTACACATGCTTTTGAGGTTCTCTTTAAATCGCTTTTCAAAATGAAATCCTCCTGTAGGAGCCTTACAGAAATTCACCGGTGGATAGATGAAGTAAAGCGCTTCCTGTCGGTGACTCTCGCCATCGCTAATGCTCACACAGTCGAGTTTTACACACACGACGTGTGGAAGCGGTTCATTGCTGTGACGCCGCAAGAGGTCCTGGCAGCAGTCAGTTCCGGTAGCGAACAGGAGGGGGAGCCAGAACACAAACAAAAGGGTAAATACAGACAAGACGTCAGAGAAACTGTGCATAAGTATCTTTTTCTCACTTTGTTACGTTAAAAAACAAACGTATTTTATATGATAGTGCATAAATGTTAAAGAAATTAATTTTTACAAATAAAAACCTTGACATTCGTTTTTCTTTCCACATATTTAAGTCTGAACATTTGGACTTTTGAACTGTTCTGAACTCCTTACTTCTTCCACAGAAGATGTATTTGAGTTTACAACTAACACCCATTAATTTTGACACATTCTCTCACCTGGACTGTGAATCTCTTTAGCTCTTCCAGTTATCATGACCGTCTCTTACTGGTCACTGCACAATAGGTCAACTGGAAAGGAGCTGAAGATTCTCCTTCGTTTTCAGCAACAGATAAGCAGATAAATAAACTTTCAGAGGAGCTATTATGCATAAAGGTTTCATTTTTTTTGACAATATTAGGACGTGTTTTATAATTATAAACAAAATTAGCAAGCAAAATCAATAATTCCTAATTGGCTGCAACCTTAATTGACATTATCATAGCCGCTCTAGCTGGGAATTATTTATTCAAACTTAGTATGACTTTGTGTTTTTCCTTTACAACAGAGCATTCCAGGACCACATTTGGGTTTTGCATTCATTCAAACCGGCTGGTCGACATCCATGAGCTGCTAGTGGCGGCCAAGGCCCAATCCCTGCCTGGCCTGGGAGTGTGTGTGAGCAGGGATGAGCTGCTGCAGAGCCTGAGAGGCAGCGAGTCGGAGTGTGCAGAAATCGGTAGGGCTTTATCCTAATGATTCAAAACCAGTAGACGACGATTGTCCACGAACGTTCAGCTCAGATCTTGAAGCTTTTTTTTTTTTTTTTTTAACCTGGATTTCTCTTTGTAGCAGATAAACTGGAGCCAGACGAGTTTATGAACTCAAAGAAATCCCACGAAGTCCAGTGCATGTCTAAGGTGGTGGCTTGTTTGGCCCAGCATTGCGGAGTCAAACAGGTAGAGAGTAATGCAAGTTTATTCATGTAATCATTTGAAATAAAAAGTGAAATATACCTGACTTTATTTATTTTTTTTTATTGAAATTGACTTTTGAATGATTGTAAAGAAAGAAAATGTAAAGAATAAACAAAAAAACTTATTGAATTCCAGGTGATAGACGTGGGGTCGGGGAAGGGCTACCTGAGCTCCTTCCTGTCGCTGCAGTACGGCCTCCAGGTGTTCGGCATCGACTCCTCCAGCATTAACACGCATGGTGCTCAGGAGAGGAACAGGAAGCTCAAGAAGTTCTCACGAGCGTACCAGAAACACTCGAAAGCAGCACGGACCCCAGCGGAGGCCCAGTCCTCGCCTCAAACGGAGACGGTGGAAAGGAAACCTGGGCCGAATCGGGACAGGGACGCTTTGGCGGGAAGTGGCTCTCAGCAGGATGTGGGGGCGTCGGTCGACGCTCCGGCTGCAGAAACTCAGTCGGCGCTCGGCCCAGAAGCAGGGGAGCTCTTTCTGAGCGCTCTGTCGGCGGACGTGATTCAGCCTCCGTCCCCCAGAGTTCCTCCAAGTCAGCTCAGCGCGGAGGAGAGGGAGAGGAGGAAGAGAGAGAACCTGGAGAAGAAAGCTCGGAGCAGAGGAGAGGGCGCCGGCGGCGTGTTTTCGCCGCTCACGTCTTACGTCACGTCAGAAACTGAGCTGCGGGATCTCATCACTGAGCTGGAGGTGAGGAGACAAAAAAAAGAAAAACAACATTCTGAGAATGCATTTATTGTGTGTAAGGCAGAGGAAACCTTATGGGTTAGTAGCAAACTTGACTCCCACAGCAGCGTCTAAAATTACACCTGCTGGAGTGGAGAGCGAGTCAGTGGCGTGACTGCCGGTGTCATCGCCAATAAATTCTACCATCGATCCTCACCCGTCCTCCTCTGCCTCATCCTCTGCGTGCTTTCCACCAAACTCCAGGAAGCCGTCATGGTCGGCCTGCACACGTGTGGCGACTTGGCTGCGAGCACGCTGAGGATGTTTGTGGCGAAGCCGGAGCTGTCGGCCGTCTGCGGCGTGGGCTGCTGCTATCACCTGCTGTCTGAGGAGTTTAACCCGGACGGACAGGGTAACCCCACACACACACACACACACAAATCTCAAGGAACGCCTGGGGCCAATCAGCGCCTTGATACCCTAAATAAAGCAACAAAATGGGAATAAAACACAGAAGAAATGTTCAATTCAAATAGAACATGAAAATATGTTGTCAGTTTTACATTAACAATATAAAAAAAATCAAATCACAGCCTTTCCTCAATAAAAAAAAAAATAAAACTGAATTTCAGGCAGTTCAAGGTCACACTTGACAGCAACGCTCTTCGGTGTTGATGGTGTTACTGACAGTAGAAGACTTGGGTTTTGTAAGTTTTAGTGTTAATTTGGTGCAACAAATTAAAGATGGAAGAAGCACAGACATGTGAGAGGCTGTAAGAAAACACCGTTGTCAATTTTCATTGAAGCTGCCGGAGATCAAGAGAGAGCAAGACTTTTAGCAGAGAACGGGAAAACAGAACAGAGCACAACGAGTTTTGCTTGTTTTAACCTTTTGAGGTATTAACTTCTGCTTTTTGTCAATGAAAAACATGCTAAACGTGTAAATCTCTGGGGTAATGGTGCATTCTCTCTAAGGAAGACACACAGACAGCTGTCCTAGCAATACTAACTGTGCTGGTGATGATGGCTAATGCATTATGCTAGTTTAAAATGCTAGCTTTTGTGCTTTTTTTTTTTTTTTAATTATGCTAAATTCTTCTGAAAAGAAAACCTGATTAGAACGGTTTTGCTTTTGTATCTGGACATTTTGTCGCATTTCGCCGCGGCGTTTCGTTTCAGGGCTCCTGCACTCTCTGATATTATCACTCTGAACTATCGCCTTCCTTCATTTCCCACAAGCCACATAAACATTTCAGTGTGGCTTTTGTGGGAAATAAGTCAAATATTCCACCGAGAGTGAAGCGACTGAGCCAAGTTCCTAATCTGCAGGGTCACGTTGAGCACCGGCTGCTGAAAGTTCGGCATTTCAAAACCTTTGTACTTGTAGAGGAAACCGAGTCAAAGGAAAACCGTTCTGCAGCTTCTGTGTGTGAAGGAATTCGTTGTTGCTCGTCTTTTGCGCTCCGGATTGAACTCGTCTCGCTGCCTCTAATTTGTGAGCCTGATATCTGCCAGGTTTTGTATATTCCTCCAGTTTCCAGTTTATTCGGTGTGAAATCGTCTTCATGTGCCCTCCTGCTTGTTGCAGCAGCCTCGCCCGACATCTTCTCATCAAGTGCTTGATTTTCCACGCCAACATCGTCAGAGCTCGTCTGAAACATCAGAAACCAGGAGCAGAAAGGGATACCATGTCAGCCAATTAAAAACAATCCTTTCCACGCTTTGCCACGTCTTTTTTAACCGAGGCCTTCGCCCACTCTTGCAGCGTGGGCTGCAGGCCAGCTCCCATGGTGGCCCACCCTTTCTTAAGAAGGATTTAGAAAGCTGAAACACTTCATCGCACAGGGTTATGTGTTTATTTAGGCTGCCGGTTTGGAATTCATGCAATTCCGTTTAAACGACACTCTCCATGGAGACTACCTCATGTGGGATCAGTATAGCATTTCGCAAAAGCAACACCACCTGCTCGCACAGGATAACAGACATTTACCTTCTTTTATTGCTTTTGCGCCAATTAAGCATAACATTATGAACATTCGGATTATTCTGTGTCGGTCTCACTTTATGCTTCCATAGCAGCTCTGACTGAAGTTAGCAGCTGGTCCTCGTTTTGGAAGCTGCCAGGTGGGAGCTCCGTGTTTCGTACTTATTTGTCCAGCAGAGGAGTCTGCAGCAGCGTTTACAACCTCAAGAGTCAGTTTTACTCTCAGGCCAGTCAAATAAAACTCAGTTAGAGCCGCAAATGTCACACGTCCTTTTGAAAAAAAAAAATAAATAAAGGGCACCTTATAATTTTAGATAAATATTTGCTATAGATTTTTTTTTTCCATTTTTAAAGAAGCACAGTTTTCTGTCTATTTTTCAGATTTAAAATACAGATTAAAATAAAATTTAGTAAGAGGATGGATTTTTGTTTTCTCTCGGGGAAGGAAAATATTATGTAAAAATAAAAAAATGCACAGATTCTAACCTAATGACCTATCGTTTTTATGTGGAAATTCAATGCAAATATTGCAAAAACTATACTCGAAAACTGTTAAAAAGAAACTGCATTTTTTAATATATAATTTTAAAAAATACTAGCTGGTTCTTTTTTTTTTTTTTTTTTTTGGCCAAAGCTATTAAGATCCAAAGAGCCACTTGTGGCCCCGGAGCCTCATGTTGCAGACCCCTGGAACAGTACATACCACAGATGTTTGGTCGGATTGAGATACGATTAATTTTGTACCAAACCAATGTCTCAGACTTATACTTCTTCTCAAACTATTCCTTAACGATTTTTGCCATTTTCCAAGAAGGGTTGGCACACTGTAGGCTAGTCTAACCGGACAAGTTGCTATGTTGATGGTCAAAACCTAAGGTCTCTTACTTGTGGGAGGGATTACATGCTTCCGTTGTACTTGCAGCTATGAATAGTCCATCATGGTATCCGAGGAATAAAAAAAAAAAAAAAAAAAAAAAAA